TGCTGCAGCTTGATGCCCGCGCGCCGCCTGAGGGGGAGGCGGCGGCCTCCGCCCCCCCCCGACAACATCCCGCTCATCCCGGCCATCCCGCTCGTCCCGCCGCCTCCCGGCCCCGCCGTCATGGCCCCCAGATAGCGGCCCGGCCTCACCGACCGCCCGCAGGTAACCGGGGAGCGCGGCCGGGCCTGGAGCGGGAGGGGGCCGGTCGGTGGCGCGGCGGCCGCTGGTGCCCCTCGGGGGCGGGGGGCGGGAGGGATCTGGCTCCGGCCCCTCTCCCTCCCTTCCAGACCCGGCCCGGCCCGGCCCGTCCTTTCCCCCGTGCTTCCCGTCCGTGCCCCGCGGCCCCGGGGCTGCGCTCACCCCCCCGGGGGATCCCATTGCGCGGTGCACAGCCGGTGTGTCCCCCTCCCGCGGGGCCGTGTCAGCCCCGCGCCTCGCCGAGGGTTCCCGGGGCGGGGGTGTCTGCTGTGCCGGTGTTTGAGGGTGTCACCTTTCTCCGGGGGTGTCCCCTGTCCCTTTTGCCGCTGTTTGGGGGTGCCAGCTCCCTCTGGGATGTCCCCGGCCTCGCGTTTCGTTGTTTGGGGGTGTCCCGTGCCCCGTGTCCCCGCGTTAGGGGTGTCCCCGGTGCCGGTGTTGTCCCCCCCAGGGGTGTCCCCGGCCCCGGGGAGCCGCAGTGGCTGCCGAAGCCCGCGGGGACACACGCGAACCTGGAGTTCCGAGGGCTGTGGGGGGGAAGTTGTGTTGTTTCCTGCATCCCAACGGGATACCTGCTGCCTCCAGTGCCGGCTTATGGGAGGAAATAGAGGGATTCCCACTAGCCGTGAGGCAGAGCTTCTGTCCCTTTGTTGTTGTTTGTTTTTTCCCTACAACAGCCCCTTCTGCACATTCCTCAGTGTCCATCTGCCAGGGTCTGCTGCGTGCCTCTGTGTCCACGCACCGTGGGGGTGTCACAGTGCTCATCTGCCAGGAACTGCTTCGTGTTTTTCTGCTCTCCTTCCATCTCTCCAGAGTCATTTTCCTATATAAACATAATCAGCAGATTCTGGGAGGGTATCATCTGTTTCTTGCTTGCCAAAAGCCTGTTGTCTCCTTTAACACACACAGGGTACTGGTGCCTGCAAAATCTGCTGTACCTGTTTGCATGGGGTCAAGTACAGCCTGTTAAATCCCACACCTCAGGGAGCTCCTGCCTGGCTGCAAAAGCTGCTGAGGTTTTCCCCACCCACAAAGACACCTCCTCCTCCAAAGCCTGAGGGATGACTCCTCCAGCCCATCTCGTGGAGCCTGTTGTGCCCACTGCTGAGGGCTGTGTGTCCCCTGCTCCACACTCACCAGGGTTATCCCTCCGAGTTCCTGCCAAGGGCCTCCATCCCACCCTGGGTGTGTTGGCCCCCCTCAGGGTAGGTGCAGGCCTTGCTGCAGGGAAAGTGCAGCCTTGCTGCAGGCAGGCATTCCTCATGCATGTGGAGGTTTCCAGATGTGTCCTTTCACATCTTGGATGTTCCCACAGATGCCCAGTGCCAGCTGTTCCTGTGCTGGCTCCCATCACCTCCCTGCTGCACGTGCCAGAAAGGTCAGTCCTGTTCCCATCTCTGATCTCTTCTTGGCTGCCTGTTACGTCTTCTGTGGCTGAAACTTCTCCCTTTTCCCTCCTGGGCCCTGCTGATCCTGCAGTGACAGACTCTCAGGTTAAGCCTACCTTGGTTTTTGCTTTGGCTTTGGGGTTTCCTTTGTTGAGCAGTCCAGCAGAGTAAAATCGAGTAGTGTGTGTACTTCTGAGGTATCAGCACATCCCATCAGTGTAACATACCATCACTTTCTCTTTTTCTGGTCATGCATAATTGGTCCACTCCAGGCCCTTCCAGTGCCTGAAGAGTTTCCAGGCAAGCAGGAGAGTGACTTTTGACAAGGCCATGGAGTGACAGGACAACGAGGAATGGCTTCAGATGACAGAGGGCAGGGTTAGATGGGATACTGAGAGGGAATTCTGCCCTGGGAGGGTGCTGAGGCCCTGGCACAGGGTGCCCAGAGAAGCTGTGGCTGCCTGGAACCATTCCAGGCCAGGTTGGACAGGGCTTGGAGCAGCCTGGGCTGGTGGAAGGTGTCCCTGCCCATGGTAGTGATCTTTAAGGTCTCTTCCAACCCAAACCGTTTTGTGATGTTTCTAGAATCCTTACTGTCCTTGTCTGATACTCTGGGTTTGCCATACCCATGGGGAGTTTCTCAGTTTTCCCAGTCACACATTTGCCCCTGCCTTCTTTCTGTGCTTCTGCCTGATACAAGGCTTTTCTTTTCCCTTTTTAAAAATTTTATTTAATTTATTCTTGGGGTGTATCCACCAGCTACCCACATGGCAGCTCTTACTGAGGTAGAGGTCACCCAGTTCACTCCTGAGCTGATCCCTGGCTCCGAGCTGGACATTTCCTTAGATGAGGTGGTGGTTATTTGTCACATGTGGACCCTGCAGGGTGATGCTGAGTGGGAATGAGTCCTGTGCAGTCAGGTCACAGGCCAGCATCCAGGAATCTCTCTGGGAACTGGGAGTGCAATGTGCTTTTCTTCTGCCCTCGAGGTCTCCTGCTGCAGCTTGATGTCTACACGTGGTGCAGATCCAAGGTGTGATGAGCCTGGAGACCTTGCCTGGGTTTAAGTGCAGCTGGTTAAGGAGGTGGAGCTGAAGCTGGGAGCTCACACAGCTCTCCCAGTGTAAATGCCTCCATTGATGTCCAACTGTTTATTCCAGGAACCAGTTACAATGCTCTAAGTGCCTCTCCCTTGGGACTACTTCTATTTAAACAGCTGGTTTTAATCCAGAGCTTTAATTGGTGCTGACACTCCAAGCAGTCTCTTTCCATGGGAAGGGAATTTCCAGCCCCACTTTAGTCTCTCCAGGTGGATGATGCATGGATGCTGAGGGAGGATCGCGCTTGGGAGGTTTTGTCCTGGCTTTGTTTACAGGGTGAGAGAATTGCCGCCTCTCTGACTGCGAGGTTTGGAGGGGAGAGACTGTCCTTACATATTCCTTCTGCAGTATGTAAGGGGAGTAGTCAGAGGGTGAAACTGAATCCTTGCCATGTTTGTTGCAACAGGAGGTTAATCATAAACTCTGGCACTTTCCAAAGGGGTGCTTTCACTCTGCAGTGTCGGTGGAGGATTGTGCTGCTCCGAGGGTCTGCTCAGCTGTTTGCCAAAAGGATCAAAAGCAAAACAGCTTCCCCCAGTCTGGGGCTGAACAACCACCATACATTGGGTTTGCTTGTATCCCACGACTTGCTGAAGGAGATTTTGTATCTTTATGGCCTTTCTGTGGATGGATGTGTGGTGCTTGTGCCTGGTGAGGTGTTTGTGTGGCCAGCAGCAAGTCTTGGGTCCTTCACAGTTGTGTGGGGTATTTCACATCAGTGTTTCACCGGCCTCATCCACTCTATCTGCTAAACTTGTTTTTCAGTGAGCTTTGAGAGCATCTGAGTATATTCCTAGGAGAACATCTGGTGATATATGTAGCTTCACTCCTTTTAGGGATTGTAATCCACTAGCTTAAAGAAAAAGAAAATCAACGTGTGACAAAGCAGTGGTGCTTTTGCTGGCATGTGACGAGGAAGGAGATGTCCCCTGACGTAGAAGGGATTGTCTGTTGACATTCTTCTCCCTCTCCCAGTTATAAGTAGGTTATCCCTGCTCAAATTATGCAACTGTGCAGACAGCCAGACTTCAGGAATTCCAAATACTTCAATGTGTCAAGTGCTGACTTCTAAATTAAATGCCACGGTTGCAGAGCGTGTTCACAGTCTGTCGCTTGAAATACGACATCAATCTTGGAATCGCGTGTGGCTGAGAAGGGGCAGCAACTTAATTGCTTGTTTCTTCCAAGAAGTGTTGTGTGAGGGTGCAGGAGCCAAACTGGGTGGGAGAAGTGCCTCTACCTGTGACACTGTTTCCATATGGAAGTCAGCAGTTACAAGCAGAAAAAAACCTACTGAAAACATTGATTTATGTAACAAATTGAAATGCTTCATACTCTGGCCCTTGCTGTTGCCTCAAAGATGCAGTTTCCAGCATCTAGATCTAATTAAATAGTTGTGTGCTTATTGCTAAGTAAACATAGGAGTCCATCACTCTCCTTGCCTTGGAAAGCAAATTGATTCTTCTAATGGTTTCACTGGATGAAAGCAGGTGTCTGGGACTGCTTTGTGCAAGGTGCTGAAATGGAATGGTGGTGGTAGGAAATGAGCTGCAAACCTGATAAAATGGGGTGACAGGAAATGTAAACGCTCAGCATTTCATTCAATTCTTACATTCCATTTAATCTAGTGAAGGAAGTGACTTAAACTGTGCATTATTTGTAAATAGCGTGTTCTTAATGTGTTCCACTTCAGAGCTGGGGAAATCATTATTTCACATGAGCAGATTTAGCAGAGTGGGTGAACGACGGATAATAAGTGCTGCAAAAAGTGTGTTGGGCTCAGCATGTGGTCTGTGACAGTGGCCAGGAGTGAATCATTAGGGGAGAGTGGAGCAGCAGCCCCAGGCAGCTCAGGCATCATCCCCAGCTCCTGGTTTTTGGGTGGCCTGAGCAAGGGGTCTGAGCTGGCAGTGCCTGTTGGACCTGTCCCTTGAGGGCATTGCCTAAACATTTCCAACAGTTTATACCTGGAGCTTCCACAGAATACCCTGTGGTGAATCCCTCAACTTGTACAAAAATAATACCCGGCTTCTGGGTTTGTTTTCTTTTTTGCTTCTTTTTAAACTGTAATCTCATTGAATCCCTCGTGCTTTTTGTAGTATGAGAAAGAATGAAGAATTTTTTTTGCATCAGCACCTCATTTGTGATTTTACAGGTCTCAGTGTTCTCAGTTTTCTCTCTTTGGGTTCTTTTCCTTTTCCAAGCTGCATTGTCCCAGTCTGTTTAGTACATCTGTCTGCGGAGGCAGCTCTTCATCACTTTGGGTTTTTTTTTCCTTTGAGCTCTGCTATTGTTTTGAGGTGATTTGGCCACAACATTTGTTTGCTTGCTTTACCCAAGAAGACTGAATAAAGGGAGATGTGCTTTCTAATAAAGGGATACTTTGTAGCTCCTCTGTGATAATATTATAAACATTTACTATGTGTAATGTTTTATATTCAAAGTGCAAATGAACACAGTAATCATAGTGAGAGATACTGTAGTGGAAATACAGATACTGAAGAAGATCTTAGTTTATAAATACAGCTACAGATGGCCGTTGATAAGGCATTTTGTATTTGGATATTACCAAGAGAGCATTATGGAAAAAACTACAGTTGGGGTGGATACTTGCCAGAGTTAAGTTGGAAGGCATTGGAAGCATGAAGATGCCGTGTCCTGTGGAGACCTAAGAGTCCCAGAAATGACTCGTGGGCTTGGTGGGTTAAGGGACACATTGCTCCCGTGTTGGGGACAGATACTGGCAGTGTTGAAGCTCTGTGGTCTGACAGTTCCTGCAGTTTTCTTTCAACGTCTTGTTTTGTTTTTTTTTTAAGTGGATAACTAGCCCTGTCTTGAAATACCTACTGTGAGAACATTTACATTCTGTAAATGTTAGTAAAGATGCTGGAGGTTTAAAAAAACCCCACAAAACTCTCCTTATGCCCAGCACAAACCATGGATATGGTTCTGCCAGGCCAGCTTTGGCCATACAAGGGCAGACAGCTCCAGCCTGTGGAGTTGCTGCTCACCTGATAATGTGATTTGTGGATAAATACAAGCACTTTTAGGTTTTGGAGCCAAGAAGAACTCCTTTTAGGTATTTATCTGCATAAATGAGTCATTAGGAAAATAAAGGTACACGTAGTGCTGAAAGGGTGATGACACAACCACATTCCTGCCTTGCTTGAACTTGTTGAGGATTCTTTCTAGCTGCTTCCGTTGGGAAGGTGGCTGTTGTTGATGTGTCTGTGACACCTTGGCTGCTGGCAGCAGTCCTGCTGTCTGGATCAGCAGTGCCTGTTCTCCTCCTCGGATCACACGGGATGTGAGACTTTGCCTTGATCTCTCCCTTCTGCTCTTTATTGAGGTTTTTCTTCAGTGTTGCTTCCAGCACTGGGGGTGTTTATGGGGCTGCTGTGCTTCAGGGAGAGTTCAGATATGCATTGCCCTTCAGAAAAAATCATTTGTTGTAGTTAATGTGGATTTCATTAGGGTGTAATGCTTCCTGGAATAAAAGTGAGAGAGAAAAGCTGTCATTTTGTGTAATAAACCTGAATATTTCAAACAACCAGTCAGTTGACAGGTAAGCTTTGTGCTGAACTAGTAAAGTCTAGCACTTAGCCAGATTTGGTTGTGACAAACCTACTGGTTGTGGTGTGCCTTCCAGTCTGTTATTTCTGTCAAATGAGAGAAGGGAGTGGTTTCCAGGGACAGGAGGGAGCACAGTGAGGTGGGAGGCATGGTTTGGGGGATAGTGGAGAGGAGGGACTCTGCACTTTCTGCTTTTGTGTAATGCACCCCTGATTTTGCCTTGGAGGAAAGGAAAAAATAATGTGTGGGGATCAACAGATGGGAGAGTTTTGTTATTTTTGTCTTTTTTGCTCTTTCAGGGATCCAGAGGAGTAGTGCTACCCAAACAATCTTGAGCCATACTGCTTTGCTGTGCCATTTTTCCTGCTATTTCTTCCACATGCCATCACCAGAAAGGGCTTGGAGATTCTTGTTTTTGTGACTAATTTGGGAAGCTGGCTTGAGTAGTCTCTTCATGGATGTTTTTCCTGACTTCTTGTTGATATATTTGCAGAGCTTCTGAAAGTGAAGGCTCAAATGCTGTGGGTAGCCATGGTAAAACAAGAAAAAATAGCTTTCTGGAATTAGTTTAAATTAGCAGGTTGCTGCAGTTGCTGCCACGTGCAAATGAAAGTAATATATGGACATTTTTTGGCAATTTGCAGTACTTAGAAAATTTAATATTCAGTTGGGGGTTTTTGTACTGTTGTTAAAGACCAAGGACTATAAAACTGCAGCCTTGCTTTTTATTACACAGAGTGGGAAATGGTCATCTAACAGCTTCTCTACACTAAGAAATTTGGGAAGAACTTAACCTGAATTTGCATGGAGCAAAAGGATAAAAAAGTTACTGAGATCCATAAAAATTATGCATGAACAGTGCCATGGAAAGCGTGGTTAAATTTGAATGTGTGCCTTAGGGCTGTAACACATCAGCCCATTCACTGTAAGCTGATTTCATTCTGAGCTGCTTCCCTGCATAAGGATATGATGAGGACTCAATTCACTTGTTGCTTTTATTCTACAAAAAAACCCCAAAACCACAAAAAAGTGGAGATTTGTTTTATACATTGATGGCACGTTTAGTAGTTCGATCATGTGTTTTTTGGGGAATTGGTGAACACCAAAAGTATAGGGTAGTGAATCTGCTGTGAGCTATCCCAAAACACTCTGTCTAGTGAAGTTCACACATTAATTTTTATTATGAGAATGAAGGTAGTTCAGTGTGGAACAAGATCTTTTCACAGTTCCTGCTCATATTGTTAAACAAGCCTCAGTTTTAAGTGCTGTCAGAAAATTGCTTTTATGTGCTGTAAGGAATGCTAACGTGAGATTCCTACAATGCAGAGTTGAAAGCACCAAGGCTGGGGAAGGTGGCATTTATCTGGTTTGCTTATTCAACCATGTGAAAGCTATATTGGGCACATAAACTTTCTGCACTACACTGCAGCTTCAAAAAAGCAACAAGTTAAATCTGGGTCCTTTGAAGTAGTGAATAGTAACATTCTGTTCTCCAGAAGTGATTGACTTCAAATGATCACACCAAAACTCAAAAAACTGTCATGGCTGAGGAAAACAAGACAATTCTCCCCAGATAAATCTTATTTCAGTGCATCACTGTTGCATGAAACGTGGGTTTTGTTGGAGCCAACAAACTTCAGTTATGTAGAAAGGCAGAGAGTCTTAAAAAAGGACATAGATCTTTCTCTATCTGGAAATGATCTCAGCAAACCTCTTACTGTTGCAGAAAAGCAGTCTGTGGCATCAGATCAGTTTCCATACAGCAGGCACTACTGTCCTGCCCTGATTATTGTAATCTCTGCTTTTAATTAGATGCTGAGATTAAGAGCGGTTGTGCTGCTCAGTGCCCTCGGTGTGTTCCCTGTCAGTTCTGGCTGCTCCAGTGTCCCTGCTGAAACATTGCCTGGTAGAAGAAGATGCTCTGAGAAGATCTAAGCACAGTTTACTTTGCAGACACGTTAAGGGACAGCTGCACAGGGAAGAAAAATACACCAAAACCCCCTTCTCAAGACTCTTTCAGGAGGTTAAAATAGATATTGACAAATACCTGGCAAGAAATCAGGCATTGCAGCAGGCTGCTGTTCTGTGTGCCTTTTACTTAGCTGTTAATTTAGTGTCACAGTATGGAGATCTTACTCCAAAGTCACTTTTAACTCATTAGCTTCCAGTTCACAGCTCAAGTCCGTTCTAGATCCCTAGTGTATCATGTCAAATGTTAAATTCATTCTGTTGGATTTCCCATAAATTTTGTTCTGTTCCTGGGAGACTCCAGTTCTCAGTCATTTGGTTTTTTGTGTTGTGCTGATGATACACCTTAGCCTTTTGATCAGCATTTTCTGAGCCAGTGTCTTGGAGATGTTTTCTGCAATGAGTTCTTATGGCACTCCATAGGTGAATTCTTCAATCTGTTATCCAGGTACATGAATTTCTCTCAGCTGCCTCTTTACCTCCAGTTTGTCTGTTCATCTGTGTGTTTGCACTAACAGCTCTGTTTGTCATGTTAGTCAAACATTTAATGAAGTTCTCATCATAGCTGGCATTTCCTCTTTCTCTGAAAAATACATTATCAATTCAGCTTGAGACACTTTAACTTCAGTAAACACAGGTGGTATCCCAATTTCTGTTTGTTTTCTTATTCTTCATTCTTTTTTTCTTCAGTTTGTTTTCATTTGGCTGGATTTGTGCACTTGTATACAAACACCTGCAATCATGTGTCTTTGAGAGATGAAAACATCTCTATATTTTTTAATAATCAGACCTTGTACATTAAATATTTGAGAGATGAAATTATCATAGTGCTAATGTTGCCAAGCTTATTTGCAGGTGTGCACCACAAAATGAGACAGTCTTTGAACAGTCCTGCCTCTCCTGGTACACTGACACCTCTTCCCTGGGAATTAAAGTATCACTATTTAATCACAGCACTGTCTAATGGAAACACTTTTAGACTGGCTTCCAATGAAAGGAGTGGTAACATGTTTTACACACCTACAACATGACATTTAATCTGCAGGTTTTATCTGCGCCAGGAGTTGTAGCTATGCTTTAATCTTGCTGCATTAATCCAGCACACTCAGTGCCTGCGTTCAGAGCCCCAGGTCGGCTCTCAGGGATTCCCAAGCGTTTGGATTAGAAGCTCCTGCCAGCTCACAGCTTTTCCCATCAGTCAGGAGGGTCTGTGCTCAGCCATGGCCATTTACTGAGCTGGGCAGATGAATTTCCATTGCCCTGAAGCCAACGGGAGCATTTAGCAGTTGAAACTTCACTGTGGACAACTTAACTTCCAGCCCTGTGACATTTCTGCAGTTAATAATGTCCCCATTTATCTGTGTATTGGTTTTCAGTCTAGACCTGCTCCATGGCAGCTGTGAGTCCATCAGCTGCAGAGACCACAACTCTCATTTGCCTGAGACATAACTGATGTGCAATTCCTGCCATAAAAACTAAAAAGAGAGAATTGAAGTGGAATTAAACTCTCCTGCCAATTTGAGATCAGACAGGAGAAAGTCTTGCAGGCCCCTTCCTGTAGGCCATACATAAGGGTTGGTAAGGGACAAGAATAAATCTAGAAGTGTCACTTTCATGAGGAAATGTCAAGCCAGAGCTGCATGAGAATCTGCTGCAAGTATGTGGCTGCTGGTGAAGTTAATGAATGTGGCCTTGGAATCTGTAATTAGTATAGTCAGGCAGATGAGTGCTTAATTCTGCCAGATGGGAGAGCTCCACTCTGAGTTCCAGGACATGCCTGGGGGTTTCAGACAGATACACTGCAGAAACCCTCTGGAAGCTGCCTCAGCCCAAATAGGTAAGTTCTGTGCGTGTTCTGTTGCATCACTGGGAAGTTTCTGAAGGTTTGTGGGATCCCTTTGATCAGCAGGTTTGGCTTGGTTTGGATGCACACGTTGCCATCCTGAGCCGTGTGCTGGGCTCTCCTCTGCAGGCTGTAATTCTGCTCCTATCAGCCCACACAGGCTCTCTTTAATAGCTCCTCTCACACTGTCAGAGCACAACTGCTGAATTTTTACATCCAGCTTCTTAATTCCCATGCAAATGACTCGTCAGGAAACAAACAAAAATCCCTAAGACACATTGTGCTTCGCCTTAAATGTGGAAACAACAACTCCTGAAAAATAGTGATGGTTTAACTCATGGTTTTCAGCTTTTTCTTTGCTGTGACCTCACAGTACAGGAGCAACAGCTCTGTGATATGTTTTGTGTTGGTTTTAATATTGTAGTAGACACATATATACCTCTTTTTCATCACAGTAGATGTTTTGGGATTTTTTTTTTACTTTCATATGCTCAGGCAGTCTTCTGACATGAGGAAGACTTTGGTCATCTCACTTTGGAAACTGTAAACCTTTCCTTGGAGTTTTATAGTTTTGAATGAGGACAACTGAGATATTTGGAATTAAGCAAATATTTCTGATTTGCTCTTGGCCCATATTGCTTTAACAGCAGCCATTGTACTTTATATCCATGGTGTAAAAGTTTTAAAAAATCTGCAAAACCATAGAGGAGCAGGAAGTACATGCTAAGGTGTTGGTTGTCCATCTTTTGGCAAGGGAAGTTAAAATCAAGTACCAGGAAGGTGTAGAAGTGGATTGCAAGGATGGTGCAGTGCCTGACCATACCTCACACCTTGCTGCTGGTAAGAATTAAAACACAATGCCAAAGTAGGAGGATTTTTTGCTCTCTCTTGTATAGAAATATGCATTGAGAAGTTAATTAGATCAACTTTTTTCAAAAAGCTAACAGTGATTAAGGCATTGTTGCCAAAAGCAGAGGCTGGTTTTGACTGATAAATTGCAGGGCTGATAAGAGGCTGGGAGCCTTGGCACCTCCAAGAGGAGGGGTGTCAGCTCTGGATTCAGCACTCAGCTGAAGTTCCACTCATGCAAACCAGTCTAAGATATTTTGTGCTCTTCTGCTTGGGGAAAGTCTGTTGGTACTGTTCCCTTAAAATGTGTATGTAAATGTTTTCTAATTTTATCCTTTCAGAAGTGTTCTGTTGCAGCTGACATCCCATCTCCACTTTACAATAAAACCATTTTGTAGAGCAAATTGATGGGTTTGGCACCCCACTACTTGTCTCAATGGCTTCACCAGCCCTGAGAATTAAAATGCACCTACTAGATTTGCATCATGCAAATGCATTTTTCCATGATCTGAGTCAGTTTTTTCCTATCCCCATGAAAGATTAATGTTTTTGATAGCAGTGTCAGTGTGAGTCAGAGCTGTGGCTGTGAGCTGGGGCTTTGCCATGGCCGCACACATCTGCTTTCTCCTTGTGCCATGCTACAGTCAAAGCTTTTGTTTTCTGTTATTGCAGGGTTTCATTTGGGGCAAACTGCAGAGATCTGTTAGGAATATGAAACATGTATTTCATGGACACTGGGCCTGCCTTTTTCCTGAGTAATTATTTTGGAAGAGGAGTTGTTGGATGCTTTTCACCTTGTCCGTTGCAGATAAACACTGTTCCTGGTCTGTTGGAGGATTTACAGTAAAGAAATACTGTGTGCTTTTGCCCTTATCTCCTTCCTGCCCTGAAGAGGTTTACCATGGTTGCTACCAAAAATGGTGGTGGGTCCTGTCACAGCTCAGGATTTCCAGATGTGCAAATCTCAGCAAATTTTTGTGAAGAGTTGCAGCCTTGGTGTGTTGACTTTGTAAACCTCAGCTCTTACAGCACTCAGGAGAAACTTACGTAGATGTTTACAAATCCATTTAAAATTGGGGAATGAGAGTAGCTTATTGTCAGTTTCTGGGAGTGATAAACATCCAGAGCCTCTGATAATTGTGTAGGTTATTTACATTGACCTGGATCAGCCTCAGCTATGGCTGCTTCCTGATCATGTTTTAGTCTCTCTCCTTGGAACTGAAGTCTGGTTCTGGAGTACTGCCTGCCACCCTTCAGAAGGGTGGCCACTTCTCGTGGGCTATACCTAAAATTTAGGAAGATAGAAATTCTAGAATTTGGAAAGTCTCTTTGCAAGGAGTTTTCCAGAGGAAGAGGTGGTTGCTTATGAACCAGTTTGCCACTGTAGCATCCTTGGAAAGTAAAAAAAATGATAAAAATTAAGTGTGGAACAAAGGAACAGGCTGGGGGGTGAGTACAGAGCACCCAACAAATGCTCTCTGTGAGCAACACTAATGGTCATGAAGTCAGTGGGCTCAACAGCTGTGGCACATGAACTGGTGTGCCAAAACCCCAATCTTTACAAAATACATGGTCTTGTGAAGTGCAGGATTTTTGGAGTACATTGGGAAAGCACAACACACTCTTTATATGCCTTCTGCTGTGAAGGGGAGTATTAGCTGCTCATAATAAATAGGTGGGTTGTAGTATTTCAGCTTTCAGTTTGTTAGGTGAAATTGCTCTTCCATCCCAGCTCCTAAGTGGAGTTCTCTGGAGTTCCTTACCTGTCATCAGCCACTCTTGGTGGGCAGACAGAGATCCTCCCAGCTAAGTGAATGTTCAATGTACAGCTTGAGCCCTGGCCAAGAACAAAACGCCTCCAAACTCTTTAAAACAGAAAGTGTCTGAACATTGTCCTCTTCTGAGAAGCTGGAGGAAAGGGACACAGGGGCAGTGGCAGTGTCCTGGGATATTTCAGTGAAATGGTTTGGAGAGTCAGAAATGGTTTGGTTCCTGAACTGAGAGACCAAGGACTGAGTCAGGCCCAGCACCGAGTGCTCCCAGTTGTTTGCAGGCTGTGGCATCACCTCACCCCCAGTACAGGCTGCAGCTTGGCATCTCTTTCAGGTTTAACACAACGGGGTTTATGCAGTAGCTCCTGAACACTGGCTCCTTTGTGCACTCACAGTTTGGAATCTGCTGTCCTGGAGGAAATTGAAGTTCTCAAGCCCAGCATACTTCCCAGAATGGGTCATTTCCCTGGTCCACTCATCCACTGCAGCCAAAGGTTACAGGTTTGCATTCCAGGGATTCCAGAGCTCCAAAGTGAATGCTCCACACTGATGTCATTTTGAGCACAGAATCCTCTGTTTGCCTCTTTTACATGAATACTGTCAGGCTTGGCAGTGCTGGGTTGGGGTCAAACTAGGTTCACTATCCTAAGTTAAAATATGATTTAAAATAAAGGTTAGAAACTGCTGTTGATTGCTTTGAAACTAGGATGGTGTGGCAGCTCTGGCCAGCAGTTTTCTGAAGTGAACCAGGACAAGATTTATAATGGAGATAGAACCTTTTATTAGGCCAGCTGCTGTTGGGGAAACAGATGTGTGTTTGGATAGAGATAGAAATAGCAGACTTGTAGTTCGTTCTGATTGAAGCAGTTGTTCTGATTCAATTATGAGCTTAATTATAGTTAATTATACTAAGCAGTTAATTTGAGGGAGTGAGGGGTGCTGGTACCTGTGTACTGCAGCGAGATGACAGAGATAAAATGCTCCAGGTCACATGTTTATCCCCGTGGAAGATTGTCTGTGTCTGGAGTGCTGCTGTTGATGGAATGCTGCTCTAACCAGTGCCCAAGGAGTGATCAATATTACAAATAAATAATAATAGAAAAACCAACCAATGATCTGATTTATACCGTGGGCTCACAGTTGGGTGAACGTATCTGATGGCTTGGTGAGCACTAGGGTGGGAATTTCCTAATCTTTTTGAGGCTACAAAGTGGTGTAAAGTGTGTTGGTTTCAATGCTCAGAAAAAGTTGGTGTTTTCATGCTGTAAATTGCCACGGATCAGGATAGAGAGGTTAAAGGTAGAGTGGTGGTTTTGTGGTGCTAAAAATGACTTTTGTTTTGAAATGATGTGACTAAGTGAGAAACTGAATGCAAACAGCTCCCTGAGTTGATTCACTGACTCTTCTAAAATATTATTATAGATACCATGTTTCAAAGCCAATGATTTGAGCCATCACATTAGGCAGCAGGTGAATAGGGAGCTAAATTTTGTGTACATGGAAGTAAATAGATTGTATAAGCAATATTTTTGAATTCCAATATAGTTTCTTTTCCATTCACAGTTTCATTACATTATAACATTACACTTGCAGTGTACAGTTTCATCTTTGCTGTTTCTAAGCTCAGAAACTTGACACCTGTTGAATCCCAAAACAGTGTACGTGTGCTGTGGTAGCTGTTGCTAAAACTTGTATTGCAGTAGCCTTGAAACAGTGAGAATGAGCTGAGTTACTCCAAATTACTTAAAGGTCAGGTCTTCATTTGTGCTCCTAGGAGTTAAAAAAAAAAAAAAAAACCCAACTAATTTTCAAATGAATTGTACAAAACCTTTCATACAGTAGCACTTCCCTTCAGACTGCTTTTGGCTAATAGTGGACAAAGTTGTCCTTGCTCTGGGAGCCCTGAAGTGCTCACATTTGAATTCTCACCTTCTTCAGGGATGAATGCTGTGGTGGTGATTCCTCACGTGCTTCCAGGGCAGGAATACATTCTGGAAAAACCATTCTCTCCAACTGTAAATGTCTGTGTCAAAGTTAAATACAACCCGTTAAATATGGACTGAAGTGTCCCACTGGGAATGTTTTTTAAACCTGTGAAAGTGTCTTTGAACCTGTGTTTCTCTGGAGGTTTGAAATGTGTTGTGGGAGGAGGAGCCCCACTCTGTGATACCATCCCTGGTCCCTGCCTAGAGGATCCCCGATGGTTTGTGGCTCCAAAATTAACAGCTTTTCCAGCTCCAGCCCACTTACCACTTAGTTGAGGTGTGCTCCTTGCTGTCCCCACCCCAGCACTCCCAAGGGCGTGGGTATATTTAGTTCTTGGATCTGGCATCCAAGAGCTGCTGTCAGGGACTGCCTCAGAATGGGAAATGAGACCTGCCAAAGTGCTATTTTGAAACGGTGATAATACAGAGATGATGGACTTGGGCTGGAGCTGTAATGTTGCAGCCCTTTACCCTGTCAGGTCACTGTGAATTGAGTGCAGCTATAAAAACGCCTTGTGCCACTGAAAGATTGCAAAGAGGGTTGAACCATTGTATAACCTGGCTGTGCTTTAGCGCACTCATCTTTTCATGTGGAAAATACTTTCTTACTGTTTAAATTACCTTCTAAAAATATTTGATGTTTTTACTACATCATTAACTGTAAGGAACTGATATTTTTCCCTCTCCTCGGCCTGGCCCTTTGGATTTTTCTGAAAATAGCATTTGTGCATGCTCCTTGTTCACACTGAGGCCTGGGTGGGAGCCACTTGTTTGAATGGAGGTGTCAGTGCAATGAGGGTGAAAGTCATTTTCCAGAAGTGATTTAACAGAGCAATATCCCACATTCGTGGCAGGAACACTGCTCCTGTAATAAATTTAAATCAATTTATTGCACATCACTGACTTCCGCTATTTTATTTTAAATTCTGTAACCAGCTCAAGGTCAAGGAGGCAAAAGATGAAAGGAGAAGGGGAAAGGAAGCCAGAAGAGGGGAGAGGCAGCAGGAAGGGGGCAGCAGGACAAGGAATGGTTTAGAGCAGGGCAGCAGAATCGAGCTCTCACTTTGGGGCTGGAGGGCTGAGCATTCCCTGTTCAGAAGAACAGAGGGGAAAATGGACTTGTCTTTTGTGACTCTAGGAGCTGGGAAGGTTGCTCTGAGGTTTTTCTCCTTGTTTATAACGATGTATTGGTACTATTTCTAAAGACCAAATTGTTCCATGGCTAGTCCTTGTGAATGTGTTGTTCTTCTTCTGCTGAACAGAACTTGTGGACTTCTGATGTGCCAAGGAACAGCTGCAGCAACCAGGATTTCAGAAGGAAGGGGATCCAAAGGCCATTTTTGAATATGCTGTTACAAGATTTTGCTGTAGTGTGTTGGTCTGAGATCAATGAAATGTGTTTTTCATTTGATTCATGCTGGAGAACAAAGGGTCTGGATATTCAGATGCCTCTTGAGGTCGATCTGTTTTCTTTCAGTGAAGGGAATGTTTTGCTTGTGCTTAACTTCTTCCTCTGCACCAGTGTGAAATTTCATTTTAAACCCAAACGGCCCTTACAGTTTCCACCAGACTTTATATATATTATCAGGTGTTAGTTAATCTGTGCTCTTGAACAGTTAGGGTTCCTCTGTCTGCAAGGGTTTGAGTATCAAAAGTGAAAACCCAGGAACAAGAAGCAGCCAAGTGTCAATGTCTGTAGAGCCAGGTGGGCTGTGACAGCTGCTGTTTCCATGTGTCACATTTGGGGTAAGTTGTTCCACACTTGCAGTTGCTCTGTGAAGCTCCACGTGAGCCATTTGCAAGCATGGAATGTTTTTTTTACACGGAAGGGAAAGAAGGATGATGTGCAGAAGCTGGCTGACTCCAGGAATGAATCAAACACCATAATGCTGTTGATGATTAACCAGTGAGATAATTCTGTATCGTGTTAATTGTATGAGGTGTGCACAACACAGAAAGCTTCCGTGGAGGCTTGGAAGGGGCTTAAGCAGGTGAAACACTGTGGTTTATGTTCCCTTTACAGTGAAATGTTTCTGAAATTTTTGGGGAATCCAGGGGTCAAACATTCTCATCAAGAACTTGCACAAAACACATGCATTTGCTCCCACATGGAGAGAACTGGTCCCCAAGAAGGCAGGTTTGTGTTTTTCAGAAGAAAGAAGTTGCCCTCCTTGTTTTATTTATCACATACATAAAATCAGTTTATGTCTATTTGATTTAAACTTAAACTTTCCTTTGAGGTTTATATTGCACAGTGTTTGTGAAGGAATTTTCAATAACTTCTGATCCTAGTTTAAAACTATTAAAAGCAGCTTTAGGTAATCAATACCTGCACTACAGCAGGAAATCAGACCTATTGGCAACTGTTGTTTTATGTTTACTGGTTTGAACTCTGGCCTCTGAAATTCATGCTGTAGTTTCTCTAAAGCTTTTCTGGTATTAAATACCTTCCCTGGGAGATTTGCTTACTCCTGCACCCTTGTTGTTGACTCAGCCTGACTTTTCTGTTTAAAAGATATCTTCAATAGTCTGTCAGTCTAAGAACTATGAACAGTGTTTTTCTGGACCCAGAAAATACAGGTTTCTACACAGATAACAGTTTAAAAAATGCTTTATTTTTAGTATTGCAAACATTTTTTTGAACTGTGTCGGGAATGTGGTTTTGAGTGGGCATAGCAGGAGTGTGGAGAGAGAGAGAGAGAGAGAGAGATACCCCTATATGGATAGGGAGGTGTAGATACATAGATGTATGGAATATGGTAGGGCTAGATTGCAAATAATTTAATCTGTGGTTATGAAAATTACAAGTAATTGCATTTCTGTAGAGTTAGTCCCTTGCACAGTCTGGATCCTAGAGGAACCTGGCCTTAGAGGATTCAGATGAATTTTCGTCATACAGAGTCTTACAATCACAAATCCACTTGACTTTTGTTTTCAGAGATGGAAATGACAGTTTTCCTCTTTATTTCAGGATACCTTTGATCTGTCATATGTGGGAAGAACGCTAAGAGAGCCATCTAAAAATGGGTGTTAAAACATTCACTCATAACTCCCCTGCTCACAGTCAGGAGATGCTGGGGAAGCTGAACATGCTCCGGAATGACGGCCACTTCTGCGACATCACCATCCGCGTCCAGGACAAGATCTTCAGGGCACACAAGGTGGTTCTGGCAGCCTGCAGCGACTTCTTCCGCTCCAAACTCGTTGGCCAAGCAGAGGACGAGAGCAAGAGCGTGTTGGACCTGCACCACGTGACGGTGACGGGGTTCATCCCGCTGCTGGAGTACGCCTACACAGCCACGCTGTCCATCAACACCGAGAACATCATCGACGTGCTGGCCGCCGCCAGCTACATGCAGATGTTCAGCGTGGCCAGCACGTGCTCGGAATTCATGAAGTCCAGCATTTTATGGAATACACCCAACAGCCAGCAGGAGAAGGTGCTGGATGCAGGACAGGAGAGCGGTGCAAACTGCAATTTCACCTCCCGGGACGGCAGCCTGTCTCCCGTCTCCTCCGAGTGCAGCGTGGTGGAAAGAACCATTCCCGTTTGCCGGGAGTCTCGGAGGAAGCGCAAAAGCTACATCGTCATGTCTCCTGAGAGCCCCCTCAAGTGTAACACACAAACCAGCTCCCCCCAAGTGCTCAATCCTTCCACTTCCTACCCGGAGTCCAGAAATCAGCCCGTGGACTCGTCCTTAGCTTTTCCCTGGACTTTTCCTTTTGGAATTGATCGAAGACTTCAGTCAGAAAAGGTGAAGCAGGCGGAGAACTCTAGGACTTTGGAAATGCCTGGGCCCTCCGAGTCCAGCAGGAGGATGGCAGATTATGTGACTTGTGAGAGCACCAAAGCCAGTTCTCCCCTGGTGATCGAGGAGGACGTGCGAGTCAAGGTGGAAAGGCTGAGTGACGAGGAGGTTCACGAGGAGGTGTCGCAGCCTGTGAGCGCATCCCAGAGCTCCCTGAGTGACCAGCAGACGGTCCCAGGGAGCGAGCAAGTGCAGGAGGATCTCCTGATCAGCCCTCAGTCTTCATCTATAGGTATGACCATTTCTGCACTTATATATTCCAACTGGCACGTGAGCACTGGGGATCATTGCAGGAAATCTGCCTCGTAGGTGTTCATGCTTTACTTTTGTGAAACTCCCTTTTTTCCCCCTGATTTTTGAAATATTACACGTAAACTTGGAGTTCTTTAAATAACTTTGCCGAAGGCAGTTGAGAATGGTGAGCCTGTGGCAGCCCTCTTTATTCAGAAGAGGTTGATAACTTCTTTTTACCTCTAGTTGCCTGACTGGGGAAACTTAATTCTGCTTTCATTAGTGCCAAAAGGCACGATCTCAGCTGAGCTGCAGCATCAGATTTGAAAAGCCTGTGCCTGCAGCCACAAAGGGTTAGAACAGGACTTTGCATCAGACATCAAATCTCATATAATCGTGACAGAGAGCCTTTGTAAGAGGATTTGCAAAATAAGTGGTGAAACACTGTCATCTTAATGCCACAGACAAAAATAAAACCACACAGTCATAATATTGAGAATCTTTCCATTTCTGTGGGATTTGATTCTCAAGTTGCTTCTTCAAATGCTGCTGGTTGCTGAGAGAAATCTTTTTTCCATGACAGACAATTTGAAACCAGTTTTGGGATCTTATAGCAGGCTGTTCTTTATTAAGAGCTAATACTTAAAGGTTACTGGAACAATCCCTTTTTTCCTCTGCACAGAATGCATTGAATGGCTTTTAGTAAATCAGAAGATAGAGTTTTTGCAATATTTCTAATTTAATTATCAAAATTTTGTCCAAGTCAGCTGTTTTACTCCCAAGTGACTTGAGCTGTGCTCAGCAGAGTTTGTTTACTGAAAGATTTTTAATAACTCCTGTTCTGTTTGAAGACTCTAAGAATGGCAAATGCACTGCTCTGCTTCATTCAAATAATGTGTATGTGAAAGGCTGCCCCCATTAAGGAATTAAATAAACTACAACACAGTAAAGAGTTGTAGCCTTGTAGTCTGCATTATTTGTTTGGTTTGGTCAGTGCAGCACTGTGACATCCCTGGAGAAAGTGAGATCAGGCTGACTCTCCAGAACTGCAACACACATTCAGTGCCAAGCTATTCACTAAAAAGAAATGAAAATATTTCCCATCTATGCCATCCTTTGCTGTCGGATTGTTCTCCAGTTTGTATAGCTCATGTGTTGATATTTTAGATTGTAATGCTTTTTCCAAATGAAAATGTTTTCTTTATTGGAGACAAGGATGTTTACCTTTGCTGAGGAACAGACTTAATGTCTTCTGGTTTAAATCTTTAAATGTAGTTTGCCAAAATATTGCACAAATTAAAAACTAAAAGAACCTATTTGTGTGCTGGGGAGTCACCAGGAAAAGTGGTCCTTGCTCAAAAGCAGGTTTTGTTTGATTCAGTTTTTAACTCATTGCAGTCAGAACTGAAAGCTTTGCCAAGGCCGTGTGATAAGAGATGCAAATTGTTTCATCAAAGTAATTATATCATCACAGGCAAAATAGAACAAGAAGCAGTAATGATTAGGGAATGTTAAAAATAGCATTTCAAGTGATATATGTCATAAATATATAAATGAATATCACACCAAGGCAGCTTAAAGAACAAACTGGCTGTAAACTCCAGGCCCCAGATGAGTACTTTTGTGTGCATGGGGTAGAAAATCTCAGGCCTTAGTGATTATAATTTTTAAACTTAAATATCTGTCATTGCTGTTAGTACAGCATGTTCTGCCTTAAAACAGCTGCAGAGAGAAGAAAAATGTGCCAGGGCAAAATCTTTAAAGTACAAATCTGCTCTTTGTCTTTGAATATGTTTGAATTAATATTTAGTGGTCTTGGCAAAATAACCATCCTCAGAATGGTTTTTATTCATGTTTTGCTATAAAGGGAAACAGTGTTCTTGCTTTTTAGCACAGTTATGGTACAGCACACTTTGTAGCTACAAAGCACTTTTTACCTCCCAAAAATGCATTGCTTTATGCAGTAATGTAAGAATAGTAAATGGAGGCAGCAAGATATGTTAAAGTACAGCTTTTTCTCCCCTGAACATATTTTCCTCATATAATTGCATATATTTATCTCAGTGTTTTATAGTGCATTTACAAAAGCATTCTTGCCTCTCTCTGATATTGCAAAAAGCTCTTATTCACTCTTTGGGAAATTTAAGAATTGTTCATTTGCAATTTATTATATTTGGAAGCACTTTATAATACGGAAGGAGACGTGGAGCAGGGACTTGATAAATAAATCATTATGGTACAAAACAGCTGTGTCTGAGAAGACACTCTCATAACTCATTAGCACTTTTGGCAATTGAGAGGTGAAGGCATGAAATTAAACCTAAGAGCAGTTGGGCTTATTTTTCAGTAGACTGTCATTTAAGTATTTAATGAAAAAGAAGGATAAATCAAAATGGGATTAACTTTTGTACTTTATAGATTGCTTAGCTGATGAATTTCCCAAGTATAGTTTGTCACCTCTTAACAAAATCAAAAATTTTTATTTTGCTAATTGTGAAGCTGCCAGAGATGCAATTTTCCTCTTGTCACTGGCCCCATAACACGGCATCACGTTAAGACAAGAGTCTCTCACTTCAGCAAAGATCTCTCATTCTTTTTGACAGAATATGCACATTTTATGCTTCACCTTTCCCATCTTTGTTCCTTCTCTTTGGTTTTCCATTTTCTCTGACATTTGCCAGTGTACACCTAATTCTGCTTGATTTTCCTGGTGAGCTTTTAGGGTCCCCAAATTCAGATTGCTCCTGTACCCCTCTCTCAGAAAGCAGAATTGTTTCACCCCAGCAGCAGGAGCAGCTTTTAGCCCTGTCCTGCACTTTACTTGTCCTCGAGGTGGAGGTGCAGGGAGAGAAATCTCCTTCCCCACCTGTGCTCATGTCCTGTGGATTCAGTGGGGGAGATCCAGGGGCTGCTTGACCAAACTCTGGTGCTGATGAGAGATGAGCAGCAGCCCCTTCAGTGAATGAAGGTGTGGGTTTGCTTTGATGCTGCATTTCCTTGGATTCTGTTCCCCAAGCCCCTTGAGCTACATTTGCCTCAGTGCTGGTGAACTGAGCAGAGCTCAGGAGTGGTTTTTTTGTACATTTCTCTAACAAACACGTGTTTGGTCTCTTTTGTGTTGCATTTCTTATTTCCCAGAGGGCTCTTCCTATCTCAGCTGCTTATCAATAAATTAAGACATTATCAGGTAATATATTTATGGAAGATTTGGAACACAAAAGCCATTTAGTGTAGCAGGTTTGAACTCCTTATTGCTCAGGAAGTCTTGAAAATTTGACAAAATAGTCCCTTTAGGTGAATGTAACATTTCTGCTTTACAGTGCTAGTACTGGATGTGTTTTGAAAACTGGCTGTATTTACCATTTCCATTTTCTAGGTGTACCAAATATGTGCCCTCTATTGAATTGTCAATTTACTGGGTAACCTGTGCAGAGAGAAGCTGATGGGAACAAGTCACTTCTGGGTGTTCTAAATGACTTTCCCAAAGCACTTTTATTATCTTATCACCCAGCTATCAGTGTCTATCAGAGATTTGGGAAAGCAAGCTTGATGTGTATTTACCTGCCCCCCAACCCTTTTTGAACAGTTATTTGCATTAAATTGCCCTTTTTTCTTTGCCTAGGCTCAATAGATGAGGGGGTTACAGAGGGATTGCCCACACTCCAAAGCACCTCTGGCACTAACGCTCATGCGGACGATGATGATCGGTATGTACCAGCCTGGTGTGCAAAGTGTTCTGCACCAAGTGCTCTGCTGTAATTAACCTCCCCAGCCTTAATCCCACAGTGTTTAGTTGTTCCTACATCGGGTTCTCTGTGTTGATCAAAGTACAATCAGTGCCTGGAGGGGCAGAAGCTTTAGAAAAATGTAGGTGATGAAAGTCAGAATCTGCTTACTCGTTGCTTTTTGTTTCCTGTTTATTTCCAGGCAGCACTGGTGAAGAAAGACAGTCCTGTTCTTGCTGTTTCTTCATCATTGCTCTGTATTAATAAATTTTAATTAAACCTCTGTGTGAAACATGCATGCTAAAGCAACAAACTGAAAACAAGGCCTAGCCCTGACTTCAACAGACCTCGCTACTGCAAGCCACAGGAGAGGCAGAGCAGCCTTAAATCTCTTCCCCCAAACTTTCTGCCTTTAGCTTCTCACCAAGATGCTGTGTGGCACTTGCTGTAAATATTTAGCAGGCTTTTGCCGTGCTGATTTATTAAGGGAATCCCTTATAAGGGAAGGTTGGCAGAGAAAACCAAACTAAACTGGGTCTGTTTGGTCAAAGAGACATCGTGGTTCTGTTAGAGCCAAGTGAGGTACCCACCCATGGCACACAGGGCTGCTCTCAGCTGCTCTGGCTCCAGTTCTTAGCTCTCCCCTCTCTCAGCACATTTTTCCAAACTGATTTTTGCAGGAGTTTGTAAGACAAGTGGGTCTGAGGAAGAAGTGTAAATCTTTGGAAGTTTTTCCAGAAATTGTGTCAAAAGAAACTCCCTATAGAGATGATAACCAAGAGCTGCATTTTCATAGCTCATGAAATCTTTCCTGTCATTTCCATCTAAAATCTGTCCCACTTCCCTTAAAAAGGGAAAATAACTGCTTAGATAAGACTTTTTGGATGACATGGAAGATTTAATCTATCTGCTAACAAACCTGAGTATAAAAATATCACCCAGCACTTAAGGCTTGAATTAATAGTAGGAGCACATGTTGCACTTGAACTAATCCAGGCTTTTAAACTGTAATTCTGAAGTCAAGTGGCACACATATTTTCAGCAGTGGATTATTTCAGAAATTTCCTATAAAACTGCAGAGTTTCAGCACAAATTGCATAGAAAATTCAAAAAGATAAAAAATTCTTCAAACACACTGAAAATTTCCACTAAAAAATCTCTTACATGCAGAGAAGGAAAGAATATTTACCTTAGTTTATACCCCAGTTTGAAAATAATTAGTCTCAGAGTGACAGAAGTATCAGGAAAATGAACTCGAATTTGCTCCTTGTTTCAGTAACTACAAGTGAACTGAGAGTCACGGGGATTTTAGACTCCAGAACTACCAAGAGATTTATTTTATAAATTCAAATGAAAGTGTCAAGGATGTTCTGATTCCAAGAACCAGTTAAATGTGTAAAATGGTGCTTCCAAGACCTGAGCAGTTTCCTTTCAGGGGTGTGTGTGTATTTGTCTTGTCAGCTTTCAAATACACTGGGACAGCCCTTCACGCATGACTTAAAATCCCATTTCAAGCATGGGATGGGCACAGCAGCCAATAAATATGGCCTGTTGTTCACTGTGCAGCAATTTGGGCACACAGTTTTGGGGGCATAAGAATTCTGAATAAAGTAAAACATGTTTCTCCAGCTGAATGATAAAAAAACAATCAATACATTGTACAGATGGTGAAAATTTCCCTCCCAAACTGTTTGAATGTTTCATGCACCTTTAACTCCATGTTGTACATTTCCTTATCACTAGAAATTCTCAAAATGTCAGAATCAGTTGTGTGTGCCCAGTGCAAATTAATATTGAAAAGTGTATGTTGTAATAAGCATTTATTATATTAATAATGCAGTATATTACATTTCTATTTCTAAAACAAAGCAAAAGACTAGTCCCTCTAAAGGTCTCTCAATATTACATCCGTGTCACTCTGGGAGGAATCATAAGCATTTCAAAAACTAAGATGTCTTATCTCTTGAGTTTCTGTCTTAAATAATTAACATCATTAATTTGGCCTCCTGCATAATCACTATTTCATAAACAGTAGGTCACATGTAATTGTTGTCAGCTTAATAGGCACACAGGAGTCTGTTAAGTATTAAAATTACTGTTCCAGTGAAGTCTTATCTATTCTTTCTCTGGTATTTCACATCTGGATTGTTACACACTTTTCTAATCTTGACTGCTTTAACAGTTCAATCAGTTTGTGGCTGCACTTTAAAAGGAGTAGCTCAGTTATGAAAGTTATAAAAGGTCTCTCTGATCCAATAGAATGAGAACCTCCACTTCTCTAAAATAATTGTTATTTGCAAATAATGAACATTTCCAGGTTCACTGGCATTTTGGCATTCATGTTTATCAGAGTTTAGTTCTGCATAGTAAATAATCTCAGGGTGAAAAGAAGAAAAAGTGCAAGTAGGATATTTCAGTGCCAGCATTTGAAACCTCTCTCTGTGTAGCTGATACAGAAGTTCTTGGAGATGTCAGACAAATCTCAGCTGTTAAATGTCATATTGATCACAAATTGCAAGTCGTGAAAAATTAAATAAATGTGGGGGAAAAAGAAGCAGGGGAGAGAAAATCTAATAATGTTTCAAATATAATCTCTTCATGGTGCTAAGTTATGTCACCAAAAAGGTATTTCACCCTGCTGGCAGTGTGAGCATGGGAAAGGACAAGCCAGGCACTGATAGCTGGAGAGCCTCCTGATTCCCACTAGATCTGCTTTAATCAGCCCTCCTCATCATGAAAGATGGATGAATTTAAAAACCAGACTTCATTTTCAATTTCTGCTATGGAGCTGTGCCCATAGCACTTCTCCAGTGAAGGAGGTGGCACCAGCACAGGCATGGAGGGTGAGCAAGCCCAGGAGAGCTGGAAACAAAAGGAGAGCTGTGGCTCCTGATTGCTGCCCTACTTTGGGTGTCTCCTGAGAAAGCTCCAGGAGCACAACGTGCCTGTGCCTCCTCACAGTCCCTAACGCAGGAGTGAGGGAGGCAGCACCTAAGAACATGTCAGAAGATTAAATTCTTTGTTGTCACAAAACCCAAATGTTATTCTTATTTGAGCACACTTCATGTATAAAAAAGGAAGTGGAGTGCCAGAGTTGGTCAGGAATTTGGTTAGAAAAATCAGAACCTGTGTTTAAAATACTCTCACTTATTTCAAAAAGCCTCAGTTGGCATTTTTAGACCCCAAAATGGCAAAAAGCTCCATTCTGCCAGGCCCAGGACAGGAGCTAGTGACTTTGCTCTTGCAAATATTCCCTTTATCACAGATCAGCAAGTCTGTCAGCATCTCTGTTTTCCACAGCTCTGGGACCCTACTGTGTATAAAAGTTCAAGGACAAGAAAATTTCTTCTTTAGTGCAAATCTTCCTCCAGTGCCATGTGAGGTCAGAAATCCTCAGGGTTTTACAGACTGAATGATACTAAACTCCTACAGGAAACCCTTTAATCTTGTGTGTATCAAGAGATACCTGGTGCTCTCTCTCCAGATAAATTTTACAACTGGAACTTTTGCTGCTGAGAGTTCTGCACTCAGAATTCAGATATCCCCCTGTCCTCACAGCTGTAGTGCCATCCTTTTCCAGAGTAAAGACAGTTTAAGTGTTGATTTTAAAGAGATTATCCTACTTCTGCCCTCCTGTGCTGAACTGCTTTGTGCATTTTTGTATGACGCCTAGGAAAATGTATTTGTGCACAGTGCATGTTTCATTTGTGTGAGTGTTAGAAATTCCCAAATCCAGCACAACCCTGAAGCCAGCCCTCTGGCTTGAGGGGGTAGCAGAGCAGCAGAAGGATTTCCTCAGCTAGGAAAACTTCTGACTGTGAGGAGACATCATTGCATCTTTGCTCAGGACATTTCAGACATTTCAGTTCAGTAAAGCTAAAGTTGCAATGTGCTGGCCATGGATGGTCAGGGTCAGAGCAGTTCCCTGCTGCCAGTGGTGGCTGATCTTTCAGCAGGCTGGGAGCAGCTGAAATGGTATTTCACCAAAAATGCAGACCTTAGTGCTCAGGGAGGGGAAACCCCAGGTAAGTACAAGCCCTGTTGTTCCCATGTTTGTACCAGCAGATTTGTTCTTATTTCACTGTGCCCTTTAGCAAGCTCCTTGCCAGAGGACTTGGATTAGAGCACTATAGTTCACTTAAACAGTTTGCAGCTGGAGGCTATGGAGGAGCAATTAGTCAGTTTTAAATAAATTACTTTGAAAGTTAAATTGTTCCTCATTGCAGTTCATGTGCTGTTCTTTAAACACAGCACTGGAGCTCTGCTCATGGAGCTTTTTGAATCAGACAAGGAGCAAGTATTGCTTCACTAGATTAATATTTTATACTTAGAAATACGCAATTGTAGATACTAGTATTTGTTGATGGAGCTTGGATTGAGATGAAAAATTAATTGGCTTTAATTTCATTTGTAAATATCACTGAAGCTGCAAAATACTCCTTTGCTTTTCATTTGCTCAGCTCTATAAACTCTTCCTCAGGGACTGTTTAGTGATTGCAAGTCATCGATGTGCTGGAGAAAATGCCCACGCCTGGAAAATAATGTTCAGTTTGCAGTTGTGCTCAGGCCTGTTGCCCAAAGAAACAGAATTCTGAGCTTATTCCCTGGGTGTGCTCAGATGTGCAGAGTCAGTGAGTGTAAGATTTCAGGTGCAGATCAGACACATTGCTACAGACCCAGACATCTCCAGAATAAATGAGATTTCAGCAGAAATGTGACGTACCAGTCTCTTCCTTCTCCCACAAAAGCCCTCAAGGTTCAGATTTTCTCAGACAAGGTTTCTTGGGTCATTTCTCTGGCTTATTTTGTAAATGAGTGCCTTTTTTCTTTGTAGTCTGGAGAACGTTCAGTATCCCTACCAACTCTACATTGCTCCTTCCACCAGCAGCACAGAGAGGCCCAGCCCAAACGGTCCCGACAGACCCTTTCAGTGTCCCACGTGCGGGGTGCGCTTCACTCGCATCCAGAACCTGAAACAACACATGCTTATCCACTCAGGTAAGAAACAGCCCTGCTCCCCAAATTCCTGACTCAGCCTTGCTCTGCAGCAGTTGTAATAATGCAGCTTTTCCACTCACTTGCCAAGTGCTTGAGAGTTGATTTCAGAAAGACTGGGTAGAGGTTTGTCTCGTTGAATGCTTGTTTTGATCCCTGGAGTCTGGCTGATAGTTGTGCTCGTGGATGATTAGCATTTGTGTGGACTGAAAAAAACCTGATTGCCTGGAACTCATCAGGATAAGTAATTTTCCTGAAAAATATCTGAGATGAAATAAAGTATACTTGGCCCTTTTATTGCACTAAAGAAGTAGATTGAAATTCTTCCTCTGCCGTATTGCAGTTCTCTGCTGTGTTTCAGAGGAGACTTGCAGCCATAAGAAAATATTATGTGTCCTTGCATTGAAGGAGATTGTATGCCTTTGGATCTCAGAATTTTTGGAGGGATTGCAGGACAACTGAATTGGTTTGATTATCAATTTAGCTCCTGCAGGTAGCACAGGCAGCCAGAGGTTTATGTGAATGCCTCCTCTGGGTCTTGGTCCCCAAATTCGTTTTGATTTCCAACCAAGCATGAACTCCCCAATGTCTTTACTATTGGTGTTTTCAAGACTTGTCAGCACTATGTGGCAGTAGTATTGACATTTGAGGGAATAAAGGGAATATTGAAGGGTTATTGCACTTGGTCACTAAGTCTCATAGTTTAGCATTTCCTGGTTTGAGTCTGACTCTTACTGCACACAGAGCCTGAGCCATTCTGACAGAGCAGCCACAACTGAGAAGGTGCAATTTTTTCCCTGTCAACAATTATTTGTTGAATCCTTGCAAGCAAAATTACCAGATATGTGTTTAATACTTAAAAAAGCAAATTCTGTGGGCATACCAGGTGCAAAATGATCCCAGGCCTGTTAAAATCTGACAGCAAAGCATCTCTGGTCCACTTGTCAACTGACAATCCCTGGGTAAAGTTGGGAGAGCTTTGAATAGCTGGTTTAGAATAATTAACATGCAAAAGAACTCTCAAAGCTTGTAAATGTTGAAAGTGTTTTCACATGAGCAAAATGGCTAAAGAGATTTCCCTTAAACTACCAGAGGAAATAGGTGCCCTTGGACAGTAGGAAAGCATGAAAAGTCTGAGCTCCACCAAACCATATTCCAGTTTATTAACTTGTTTTCACATGCTTAACAGGGTGTCTCAGTGTAACCTTAACTACAGCTTTCTCTGTCTAAAAGCCCTCAATTAAAAGTTCACCTCCTCCTTTGAAAGTAAGGAAAGCAGAGTGAAAGACTGGGGGAATTAACAGCCAGGGTTGATGCACATTCAGCCTTTTGAGAAAATCTTTTTTATTCCTTGACAGCCCTATTATGAATAGAGCTCCATATTCCAGATTCTTAGCCTCATGTTTGGATTTTCCCACTTTCTGCAGTTCAGACTTTTTATTAAATCCTAAGGTTTTGGTGACTCACACTTTTATCTTGTAATAGTTCTGTTTGTGTGATTACACACTCAGCCACTGCAACATGTTGCAGAGCTCACATGTTTTAGGGTAAGAAATGAAACATGAGTTCGGAACTGAATTTCTAGAATTAATATGAGAAAAAGTTTCTAAATTAATACAAGAAAAAAATGAGAGGCATGAAGCTCAACTGTCTTAGAGAGCTGTCAGTCGTGCAAAGTTGCCGAAAATTCTTGTACAACGAGGTTCCCACGCAGTATAAAGGCTCCTAGTGCCCCTTTTATCACCATTGCTGCTGCATTACAGGGGCGTCCCTGTGCACACAGTCCCTTGCCAGAACACTTCTCCGAGGCCAAAGGCAGCCAGAAAAAAACATTGCAATTAAGGATAGGCTGATAATTGCATTGTTGGGAACCAGTCTGGCACAAGAATCTGCCGAGATCAAAGGAGTTCAAAGGCACAGGAGATGACTGCAGCATCAGGTCCTTGTTGGCTGTGCCTGGGATCTTTAATCCTGGGGGCTTGTGCTCGTTTAAACCGTGGGGAAGGAGCCTCGGGACAGGTCACAGCCATGAGATTTCCTGGAGGTCGTTACTGAGGGACTGCAGCTCTGCTCTAATTATTTCTGCCTTTTTAAAGTTAACAGAGAACCTCTTCCTCAAGCAGGGCTGTGCTGTGACCACCTAGAGCCGCTGTCCCTGTGGGGAGGATTCTGCCCTGGCCTGTGTTACACACGGTTCTTATAGATGGATAATGAGATGATTGGCTCTCGCAATTAAAAGATGGCTATTGTGTGAATATTAAGAAAAGCTTTAGTGATGTGTAGTTATGTTATTGTAGTTTAGATGTCTTCTGTTCTCCCCATAGTTCCCTTTTCCCCCCCTGTATTGTTGCCATCAGACAGCCTGGGTTGTCTAGGACAGGTAAAAAGAAGGCATGTACATCTGCCCCTTGCATGGGGCAGCTGGGAATGGAAAAGCTTGTTGCTTAGGGGGTGCAGCATGGCAACACCTGATCTCCAATCAAGTTACAAGAAAGCAGAATCCACCGATAAATGGCAAAGAAGAGCCGACTGACAGACTTTGGGAGGGGCCAGGGCTGGTTGATGCAGCCCCCAGGGGTATAAAAGACTGAGCATCCATCTCTAAGATGAACTGGTCACATAGTATGCACGAGGGGCAGTTCCCAGCGCTGCAGCTTTTTCCTTACGTAGTCCTTTGTTGTATTTTTGTTAAGGTTCAATAAACCTTTTTAAATTTTCAAAGTGAGCAGTTGTTTCTCACAAGGTGAAGGTGTTCGTGCTCTCTCTTCCGCAGGCATTAAACCCTTTCAGTGTGACCGCTGTGGGAAAAAGTTCACCCGAGCTTACTCGCTCAAGATGCATCGCCTGAAGCACGAAGGTAAACGCTGTTTCCGGTGCCAGATATGTAGTGCCACTTTCACTTCCTTCGGGGAATATAAACACCACATGCGGGTTTCCCGGCACATTATCCGCAAGCCTCGGATTTACGAGTGCAAAACATGCGGCGCCATGTTCACCAACTCTGGAAATTTAATCGTTCACCTGAGGAGCTTGAACCATGAAGCGTCAGAGCTAGCAAACTACTTCCAGAGCAGGTGAGGTGCACAGCAAAAACCTAACAGGGAAACTTGCTTTTTTCTTTTTTTTCTTTTTTTTTTTTTCCTTTTTTTTTTTTTTTTTCCTTAGAACATCATTTCCTGCTTTCAGGGCAGCCTGCTGTGCCTCTCATCAGGTTGCCAGCTAATTCCAGTCAGATTGATTCCTGCTCCACTCTCTGTTGTATCTGATGTGTCTTACAGCATGGGAGCTGTATAGGAGGCTACTGAAGAATCCAGTGATATGCAGAGGCTGGTTCTGGGTTACTTAATTTCTCTTTTCAGTCGTACCTATGGCCAGGCCAATGGTGTGAAGCCCCAGTGTTCTGTACTGCAGTATTGGTGATTTGCTATTGATTTGCTTTTCAAAATCTTGTACATAGCCTGTTCACTTTCATAGGGGACAGACTTCCTACTTCATTTTAAGTGCTTGCTTAACACTGTGGAAAGATTGCATGACTCCAGACCTTCTCCTTTCTCATTTTTTAGATAACATTACTAAATGATTAGACTAATAGGTTTGGAAATAGTAAGGGCCACTTGGACATTTTTTATCAGGGCACAAAAGACTTGGCATATCTCACAAATGCACTGCTAAAGACTATTAAAAGAGTTCTGAGGTATCAGATGAGCACTGTGTTCTCTCATTGATATAAATATAATTGTTGGAATTTGAGATAGAAAATACAAAAGTTGGATGAGACAAATTGAAGACAGGAAGGTCTTCCAGCTCTTAAATCTACAGAGAGAGTGCAGCTTGGTGTGTAAGTCATCTGCCTTCAGCAATGCAAGACATATTCTGAATGTTACAGCATCACAATCCCACCCCTCCTGATTTCCAGACATTATTCTTCTTCCCACAAAAAACATTTGAGTATTTTGTTCTATTTGATTACCTCAGGAGTGACGTAGGATGAAAAAGATTGAAAAACAAAGCAAGAAAGCCAGATGCTGTTCTTTCAGCAGAATATTGTTTAAAAGTACAAGTGCTTCATATCTGTGGGCTTACACAGTTCTTGTTCTTGGCTCTTGTGCCAAAACTGGAGCAAACACTCTGCAGGGTGATGCCCTGGTTGTGGTAAGCACTGCATTGTTGTCAGCAAATTAAAGTCACATTAAAGGGTGTGATTTTAGTTGCCTGTAGCCCTTCCTTCAGTCTGATTTGACAAACATGAGGTTTAGCAGAGCTGGCTGTGAGTTTGGGTTGGAGCAGTGAATGCTTCTGTCACTTAAGGATTTCTTTTAACTGAGGCATTGCCAGGTGAACCAAAGCATACAAACGTGCATATATGTGATACATGTATATATTTGTCTCAAGTACAAACTTCATGTCTGGTGCTGAAAACTTGCGAAGAAATTTATTTCCATTATGTCCTCATGCTCTGAAAGTACAACTGGAGCATTTGGTGGCTTTTCTTTGGATCCACTCAGCCCTCAGCTGTTAAGAGTGCATAGCAGAAGCATTGTCCAGAAAGGATTAAAAGAGGAAGGAAATGCAATTCCATACTTTTCTCAGGAGCGTGATACATGTCAGGATCACACCCCCACTGCAGCTGGCAGCTCCCTCTGCCTTCAGCTGCCTCACCTGGTGCCCCTGGTCCCAGCCTGCCCACTCAGAGGGAAGTCCTGCTGCTGCTCTGGGGGATGCTGTACCTCAGACATGGAAAGGGCCACATTTTGCCAGTGCTGAACTCATTTTTGTTGCTATTTTTAAAGCCTGAGTGCTCCCTTTTTTTCAATGAGGTTTTCAGTGCCAAATGTGTTCCAGACATTAACTTTCATTCTCATCAAGGTGATACAATCTCATAATAAGAAGTTGCTGTGTAGGAAATATGGATGTGAAATAGATGCCATTGAATAAATTCTGTGTGTGTGGAAATGAGAACCAGGTTATGGTGCTTAGTGGAGTATGTCAGTGCCATGATCTTGGCCAATGTGAAATGGGTACCTTTGTTCTCTGTCAATGCAGTGTGTAGCTTGTGTGATGGAGCTGATACCATGGTGTGACAAATGACATTTCTCTTCTGTCCTTTGCCCCTCTTCCAGTGACTTCCTAGTACCGGACTACTTAAACCAGGAACAAGAGGAGACCCTCGGGCAGTATGAGCTAGGGGAGCATGGCTTTGAAAGCAACTCTTCTGTCCAAATGCCTGTCATTTCACAGGTGTCGTCAACTCAGAATTGTGAAAGCACTTTCCCCTTGGGGTCTCTGGGTGGGTTGGCAGAGAAGGAAGAAGATGTGCCAGAGCAGCCAAAGACTAACACCACTGCTGAGGCAGCCGCGGGTGACCCTCCCAAACCGGAGCTGTCATCTATTACTATCGAATAATTCATGGTTTGGTTTCATTTTTGTTCTTTGGAAAGTGCCTGTGTTTGGTCCTGTACATTTTAATTTAATTTTTTTAAACGAAAAGTGGGGAGATTTTCCCCTTTTTACTTTGTAAGCTACGCTTTAAACTGAAAACTGCGACAGATGTTACATTATTTTTCATGACTGAATGATCACTTCTGTGAAAATATTTAAGACTGATTGCACAAAAAAAGATCTTGTCAGAACATCATGGAAGCTGTGATATACTTCTAAAGAAGAGCAACTGATTCAGATCACTTTAACTATTCCATCTTCCACAGTTAGAGCAGCTCATTAAGTTTCTCTTGCTTCTGCAGGCCCTCTGGTTAAGGGAAAGAAATCAGAGGAAACCTTTTTCAAATGATAAACAAAAGGATGCATTGGAAACCATGATTGAACAGTTTTGACTAGTTTTGAGTGGATGCTTTAATCTTCTGCATAAAGAAGTGACACTTCCTATATGTGCCTGCTGTTTTTCAAAGCCCTTACTGTGCCCTGTGCTTGGAAATGGTGAGCGGTTTTGAAAGGAACAGTCACACACTTCTTCAAAACACACGATCCCTGTCCAGCCCAGATGAATGCCAGGTATTCCTACTTCTTCTGTTCCAGTCCTTTTAGAAACTGCTTGATCAAATAGCCTAAACAGATCTGCCCAGCTGAGGCTAGGCATGGAAAGTCTAAAGGTGCACCAAGAATTGGGAATGATGGAGAAGTGTTTAGCCATGCAAGCCTGACAAATATCTCCTGACTGTACCTGTCTGTAGATGGGGAACCACAAAGGAAAATTCTTAAACCTTGGCCAGATTATTTGCAGTTCTGATCACTGCCCCCTCACATACACACTGTGTTTTTACTAATCTGAGAGCTAGCTAGAGGGAGTTTACAGATCGGAAAAAATAAGCTCTTTTGTGCATTATTGCACATTTTTTTGTTTATACATATGTATGTATAGCTTCAGAGATTTTTACTAGCCTGTTTTGGATAAAACAAGCAATTTATTCTCTCTAAGGACAACTTTCTAACCAACAGGGGGTTGTTTACAAAAAGCCTATAGAGCAATGATGAATTGTTCCTGTTTCAAAACACTTTAAATCCTTGCCAACTCGGTTTATTAAAGGCCATTACTCCAGCTACACACACAGCTCAAGCAAGCAATAAACTGAAATATTTGCAATTTCATTTTTCCATATTTAGAAAAGGCTACAAATGGAGGGTGTGGGATTTTCAGAGCAGTGAGTCTTGTTTGGTCAAGGCTGTTTGGGCTCAAGTACTGCTTTGAAACCTAAATTAGGAAGTACATTAGGAGATTTGTGATTTTTCTTACAGCTTCTGAAGTTAACTCAGTGTTTGATGCCAAATGCCCACGGCCTACAGACGATGTGCTGAGTGAGTAGGTACTGCTTGATCTCAGTATTCCAAAGGCATGATATACTCCCTTAGTTTTGAGTCTTGTTTTTTGTAAATTGTTGTTTTCTGGCTAGATTTGTTTTATGCAAACATGAGGAGGAAATGAAACCAATAGAGAAAGGTTGCTCCTGAAGAAACAGAAGACACAAAAGTCGTATTATATTGCACATCCATTTGTATTCAGTCAGCCTAGGCAGCTCTGATACTCTCTGAGACTGAGTTCTTTCTATTAATAGCCAGCTTTTGTAAGGAAAAAAGTTTATTGACCTTTGGAAAGTGTTTAAAGGGTTTCAGTGACTTCAACAATTTTTCTCTTTTTAGGTTAAACCCACATATTTTAGTTAAATAGAGCGAAAACAGTTGGGATTTAAGTACTTTCCAAGTTGCTGGAATGAGGTTTCTCCACCAGATCCAAAGGGTGTTTTAGAAACATGCTGCAAAGAAGTTCTGTGCTGCAATTCAGTCTTGATTATATCTACCTTTGTGAGGCTTCTTAAAAGGGCTTGAAGGAGAAATGCTTTTTCTGGGCTGCTGTACTGTGAAATAGCCCAGTGTCTGCTGATGAGCTGAATTTAGAGACCATTTCTCTTCACTTCTGATTTCTCTGAGAAGCCAGTGAGACAAGACAATGCCTTTTGCTGAGCTTTATTCTGACCTAGAGGGCTACAACACTGAGCTCAAATCCAGCATTTTCTCTTTTTCCTGATATGTTACACAGGTAAATGAGAGTCCTTTGTGATTCATGTTCTGAACAATGCTTCACTCAAACCACATTTCCTGACTGCAGAGATGTAATAATCAAAGGTGGTCAGGTATGAGGTGGAGGACATAATCTGATCATTAGAATCTGATCATTTCCATCCCTGAAGTATTTTGCTAAAGAGTTCATTGGTGAGAAGGTACAAATACACCATAGACATACCTGGATATTGGATTTTTAAGACTTAAAATTTTGAGTCAGAAGGCAAATTGCTTTCAGAATACCAAAGAGAAAGGGGAAAGTTACAAAGACTTTATAGCTCTGACCCGTTCTTCCTTGAAAAGAAATAAGGATCATTAACACTGAGGTACAAGGCAAGGCCTGGGGTTCATTATTCATTGCATTGTGTGTTACACATTATCTTTTCAGCCTCCTGATCTCTGGGTAACATCTTAATTTAGTTCTCATTTTTCAATCTGGTTCAACTGGAGGAGAATGGAGTTCTTGGAGGATTTTGTTTGGATGGTTTAGGGTTGGGTTTACTTGTTAATTTTCCTGTCTGTAATTGTTTCTTGTTAGTATCTCTTTTCTGCATAGAAATGAATACAGTTTAAATGCAAACACCATTTTATTTCTCCTCTCTAACTTGTTGGAACTGTTCAGTTCTTTGAAATGCTGGTGTTCTTCACAAGAGAGATGTAAAAACACAGGACATCTTAAAACAATTTATGTTGCTAATGTGCTTGGATTCCAAACAGAGCAAGAGAGATAACTAAAATAGAAAAAACTTGCCTTAAACTACACTTGGGATTAAACCTAAAACATACATTTCTTTCAGAGGGTTTTGAATTCTGGGATGCATTTTCTTATTTCTTCTTAGCTTTTTTTCCCTCCCTCCCTCCCAAAACAATCCATTATTTAGTATGCATTTCTGTGTCTGCTAGACGAGGGTCAGGGTTGATGTGGTTCAGCCCTCCTGCTGCAAGCAGGGTCAGCCCAAGTGGTGTTTCCCACAGCTGGAGTTCAGTTGTCAGGCTCGCAGAGACCGCGGTCAAGTCTCTCATACTGAGAGATCAGTAGACTCGGGTATTGAAAATGGTTCTGGGTTCACATGGATTCTGAGTCTAAAAGATGTGAATTTAAACTTTTTAAAAAAGTAATAGCTGCCAATGCAGTCAAATATATTTTATAAGACTATGATCCCTATATGTCCCCTGCGGGATGAAATTTTATTGTTTTTAAGCTATGGTTTAAGGTTTTTATATGAGGGCTTCAGGCACTTCTTGGTCGCTGGTTCCACCCTGCAGCCCCGGGTGTGGGAGCGCTGAGGTGAGTGCTGGTCTCTCTCAGAGACAAACCAGGAAGCATTTTATATGCAAATCCAGCAGGAGCTTTGTGCACCCTGCAGGGATGAGAGAATTCAGATGGAGGAGCACCTGCTGCTCCTGCATCCATTGCAACTTCCACACCATCAGAATATGGAAAATAGCTGATTTTCATTCAGGCCGCTTACGTTCGAGTTTTGCTCACAAGGTGAAATCCTGTTTTGGAGGGTTCTCATCTCCAACTGTAGACATAATAAATCCCATAGCATCGTGATGGCAGGTAAGAGGGTTCAAGACAGTACCTCACCACATCAGAGGTACCTGGTAAATAGAGTGGGTTCCAAGTATTTGAGGAAATGTACCATAAAAGAAACAAATGTGAATTTTTTTAGTGCAACAGTACTTACTGCTCTGGATTTTCGTTCACTCCGCGTGTGCTAGCGCAGTAACTCCGTGTCCCACAGGTCCCAGCTACAAATCTGGTTGCACTAAAAAACAAAGTAGATCTGGTGCTACCAGCCTGTGTGGCAGCTGTACCTACAGTCTTCCTGAGGGTTGCTGAAGTCCCCAGAAGAGTGATTTTGTTTCACCATTCATTTAGCTGATGCATGCTTTTGATATTCTGACCTGTAACCCTGGCTACACCGAGTCCTTGGACAGCTTCCTTGCTCTGTTCTGCAGTGCCTTCACTCGAGGTGCTGCCCCATGGTGAAACCCCAAAGAGGGAAAAGTGGAAGCTGGAGGAAAAAAAAATGTGAATTAAATTATTGTTGGGCTTCTTTGTGCATTTTAGTAACAGTGAAACCCCCTTAACTGTGCCAGTCTCCAGTCACCAGCCGTATATCCAGTCATCATCTCATCCACAGTACAGCTTCTCTTGTTGATGCTGGCCACAGCTAGATTACTTGGCATGTTTATTGACCTAACAGAATTGGTTTTGGGTTTTGGTTTTGTTTTTTAATGTATACGATGTTTAAATACACTTCACATTTTATATAATACTATCTGGCTATTAGTATTTTTCAGGAACCATAGTTCTTGGTGGCTATATATATTTTTGTGACTTTTTTTGTAAACTAAGTGCCGTTTCAACGTTACAATCATTTTTAGAGTTATTGTAATCAATGTGAATATCATGTTTTTTCAAATCTGTTCTGAGCCTGTAGTGTTTGCTTTGTGATCATACGTGTAATGTATATATTCTGTATAGTTACATTGTATTGAAATACTAGCTTGTTTGATATAAGAAAAGTATGTATTGGGTACCTTTTTGCTAGCCTGGTTGTTTAATCTTTAAAAAAAAAAGTTCCAAAATACAAAAAAAAAAAATCTCCAAACTGGTCCGATTATAGGTCAAAATTAAGGGGGGAGAAAAACTAGTTTTGAGTGTCTTTGGATAGAAATATGAAGCTAAGATTTTTCATTAAAATATTAATGTTTTATGGAGTATATCTTTGCTTTGTGTCGTTATTTAACTCTGCCAGCGTTTGCCTTGCAGTACAACAGAGTAACCTGGACCTTCAGTGAGAAGGTGCAACTCTGTCCCTTGAGCTACCTTCTCTTATAGCTTTGCTTAGAACCAAAAAAGCTGATATGAGGAGAACTCACTGGTGCTGAAGCTGTCACTGGGAGAAAGGTAGTTTAAAACAAAATTAACAATAATAAATGGTTGGAGAAGTTACATGAGTAAAGAGTACTAAGAATAAAGTACACATTTCTGATTCATTTTCCTTTGTATATTAGATTGCCTTCTGTTCATGTTCTCTTTAGACCTCATTCTGCAAAAGTGCTGGGGCCAACTTTCCACGGGTGATGTTGATGGAAAGCCAAGGGGGAGCCTAATCAAATTAGCCAAAGCAGAAGGTGTTTAAAAAGTACAGTAGGCAGTCATTGTAGTGGCAGCTGTGAGCTTCAAAGTAGTCATGAAACAGCTCAGAGTGTGGGACTTAAAATCCATCTCTGCTGTTTCTACAACCCTTGCAATTAAAATCACTTTCCTCCTACAGACCCACCTGTGTGAGTGAGCTGCAATCCTGGCTGATCAACACATAACTTGGGAAAGTGGCAGGTTGGTAAGTGCTTGGCTGAAGAGGCAACTCTGCTCTACCCCAGCTCAATAACAAGCAGGCTGGAGTGATTTATACACCAGCTGCCAAACTGCTCAGTGTCTGACACAGCAGTGAGACACAAAATGGAAAAGCACTCCCTGGTGCAGAGTAGCTGGAGCCACGATGAACATGGGGAGGGCTTGAGAGTTTCCAAATCCTGAGCTCTCCTTTCACTGAGGACCATGCCTAGGGACAGGTGTCTGAACCAAGAGCAAAATGGAAGAGGGAGTTCATCTGCTTAGGGTCTGGAGAGGATGCAGTGTGACACACAGAGGCTTGGGTCTCCCATGAAAGCAAAAATTCTGTTTCTTTGAAACCTGGTCCCATTTGGAGTCTGCAGTAAGTTCTGGCTGACTGCAAAGGCACACACAGCACCCCAGAGCTGGGCAGGCACCCCTGGGTGGGTGGTGAAGGTTAAATTCACACACAGCACCCCAGAGCTGGGCAGGCACCCCTGGGTGGATGGTGGAGCTGTGCATTCACAGCACCCCAGAGCTGGCCAGGGCACTGTGGGTGGATGGCGAGGCCTGGGCTGGTGACTGGAGCAGGTTTTTCCAAAGCATGACCATATGTTCTGTGTTAAACATCTTTTAGGCACCCTTAACAAAGCAAGAGCACACTATTGAAGCTTTTTGTGTGGCTTCCTTAAAGCATTCAGCATTTTATTCCTGACAGTAATGAAGGATTATTTCTTTCGCTTAGAGGAGAGTGTCTGAGCTAAGACCAGACTCAGCAACTGAGAATGTGGCAGAGCAGGGACAAGAGTTCTCCCAGGGCTGATTGCACCATTCCTGCCCAGCTGATATCCCCAGGAAAATGAAGCTGCTGAGAGAAACCTGGCTTGGGTTATGCATAAAGTGCTTTCCACAAGCTGCATCTCCAGAGCAGTGAGGTAACATCACCACTGTGAGACCCTGAGCATGCAGAGCAGGGGAAGTGTGCCCATGGCAGAGCCTTTCTTACAGCCCAGAGTTTGGTGCAGTCCTTGTGGAGTTTGGGGTCTGTTAACAGCTTTTCAGAGCACACAAGCATGCTTGAATAGCAGATTCACTGACAGTAGCCCTGATTTCCTTAGCTGCCTTTCACAAATCCTTGAGAAATAGGCCACAAACACCCAGAGTGAGATCTGTGTGTTTGAAAACCACTCTCAGGGCCTGAGTTAATTGCCTTTGAGCATGAGCTGCCTTTGTCTCAGTCACAAGGTCTCAGGTGAAGATGAAAGAACAACTCACAGGGCATCTATTTGTGTATCTCACTTGAACCTTTACCTCACTGTTGAAGTTTGAACTCTTCTATCCAAATTATGAAATTAGTGAATTAAATGTAACGTGTTGAATGGCTGTGCCCTGACTTTGACACACACCCCTCTCATTTCAAACACCACTGGGTTCCTGTGGGAGTGTCTTTAAGAATGCATGCACTGCATCTGGCTAAACTGCATTCCCAGTCTCCCCTGTGCCTCCCTAGGTGCTTGAAATCTGTGTTCTGCAAAGCTCCCAGCACTCAGAAGGTGACAGTTTTTTCTCACAGAGTGCTGCCTGTTCCCCTGAACAGCAGCAATCCATGTGTCCTCATCCAGAAGGAATTTTGAACAATGACCATGTGAAAACATCAACTGACCAGCTCCTTCCTTGCTGCTTCCCCACAGGAGCAGCTGGTGCTGCTGTCTGCTGGGTAATGCTCGCTCAGACCTCCAGCAAGAGCCTTGCTTTGCTCTGGTTTAGCCCTCACGAGCTTCTCTTGATTTTGGAGTGGGAATGAGAGATGTGGTTTCCTTCCATCCCATGCCCATCTCTAAACAAGCTTCTCCTCCCCAGGGAGGCAGGACTGACAGACAAGATACTGTAAGAAACAGATATATTTTCTGGTCTTAAAAGGTTTTCCTTTGAGGAGGGACTGAGCATTGATGGTGTTTCAGTATATTTTTCTCTTTCATTTTTTCCCCTTGCAGAATCTGACATTGTCTAGACTTTTTAAAAGAAAAAACAATGTCAGCTACAAACAGATTGCTTTTAAGCATGAAGGAACATAAGTGCAGTAAGTATTGGGTACAATTCACTGATGTCAAAATAAAGTCCTTAATTATTTGTTGCCTTGAAGCATTTCTGTCTGCAGTGCTGAATGGCTTTCAGACTACCTTGGGCTCAAGAGATCTGTGAGTATGGCCCTGACATTTGTGCCTCTAGCAAGACAGAAAATGAGAGGTAAAATGGATCATTTAAAGGCTCTGGGGGCAGGAGAAGCCTCCCTCCCAGGTGAGCACACCCCTGGGTCAAAGGGGATAATCAGGAGTGCTCAGGAGGAGCAAGGACAGCAAGAGGAGTTTGGAGGAGCTGACCCTCAATTCCAGGAGCAGTTCTGTGTGTTTAGGTGACACACAAGGAGAAATGATCCCACGGGGTTTGATACTCCATCATTGCATGGAAACAGCCCACTGGTTTTGGAAGAACAAGGTAAATTACAATTCCAGCCACTGAAGCATTTAAATAGTCTGCCTTGCCAGAAATTTAAATTGCTCCTTAAGAGCAAACCCATTTTGTGAACTTCACTTTTGCCAGTAGCTTCTCTGACTCAGCAGAGTTTATTTTATAGCCTGTGTATTAGTGGGGTGCACAGAACTTTTTGGAGAGTTTCTGTGCATAAACAGACCCTTGCACTGTGCAAAACAAAACTGGGGAGAAAAGACACCAAAGCACAAGACTAATAGACAACAGAGCTTAGAAAACCAAAACATCTCTCCAGGGTAGGACTTCATCTTCCCACAATTTAAACGAGAAAAATAACAAAAACCCTAACAAAACCTTTTATATAACTTCAGTGTTGCAGTGATCAGTTTCAGGGTTGACGTGACAGCAATTACAAACAACAGTTATGCAACTGCCTCGTTGATGGAATTGAAATTAATACAGAGAAAGGAAGGAGCCAGACAAAAAGAAGTGGCTTTGGGTTGAATTGTTATGCTTGAAAGAAATAAAAAATTGCTCAGGTCTGCCTCTTTTGAAAAAGTGAGCACAAGCCCAGGCTGAAATATCTCCTTGAAGAGCAGAGTGAAATGCTCTTAAAAATTCTCTGTGTTAGAGGCAAAATTGTGTTTCTCTTCTAAGGTTTACAGCTTGTGTTTTTTTAATCTATCTAGCAAGTTCAGTATTTTAATTTTGCTCACGTTCTTTTGAGTCTCCTTTTTAAAAAGCATTTAGCAGAGTACCACTGGGTGTTGTGATTGTGGCTGATTCACAGCACCGCAGGAGAAGCCCACGCTCACGTGTGCACCCACATCATCCCCTCCACTCTCCATCTGCACGTTGGAGTGGAGCTGAAGGCAGCATCTGGCAGCAATGAATCCTTAGGGTGAATACTGTTTGAGAGGGCTTGGATTCATGGAAAGAAAACCTGGGAAAATCCTGAGTGTAACTGGAAAATCCTGAGTCAGAGCCCTGCCTGCATTGAGAGGAGCTGTTCCTGGCTCATTCCCTGAGATGTCTCTGGTGAGGCAGGGTGCAATCACTGCTCACACAGCAATGGGTTTGTGCAGACATGAGCCAAACCCCTGGAGTTCATTTGCCATTCAGAGGCAGGTGTATCAAACTGCCAGGGTGGGTCTCTTACTGAGAAACACTGCGGATTTTCTGTTTCTCCAGAACTGGTCCAGGGCAAGGTTCCCTGCCCAGGGCAGGGTGTTGGAACCAGATGATCTTAAAGGTCTCTTCCAACCCAAAGCACTCTGTGATTCTGTGAATTTCTCCTGTAGATTCAGGGAATAAAGCACCGAGGGAGACACAGGGAATAGGAATTAAAGCCATTGTTTCTTTGCTCCTTCTCGCCTTTTTCACCCCAAGTAGCAGGAAGCAGAAAAGTCCTGAGCTTTTTGCTTCCAGAGGGAGAGGAGGAGCAGATTTTGGAGGACCCTACACAAGATGGGTTTGCTGCACATCCACTGCCATGTGCTGGTTAGTGTGAGTCACCCTGGGCATTCACTGCCCCCAGAGAACAGGTTCAGCCAGGACAAAAACACTGCAGGATGGAAACCACTGACTATCCATACATGCCAGGAGCTTCTGTGCTGGTTCCTACCAGCCTTGCCACAAGCAGGGGTTGGACATGTGGCTTCATCCCCAGCAGCCTCGTTGCTCAGGAGAAAAGCTGATCTCCAGAAAAGCCTTGGCTGCTGAGTTCCCAAAGGCCACTTGCTCACACCTGGTTTCTGTGTGAGCCAGGAACTGAGCATTGCATGTGGCCTTGGCTGTTGAGTGCATCAAAAATCCAGTTTCTGTTCTCCTGCTGGAAGCCTGAGACTTTTTAAACATTCTGTGCTTAAAGGCACAGACCCACAAGGGAACACTG